TTGCTTGTGAGATGGGTTTCCTGGATACAGCACAGCATTGGGTTTTGGCTTTTTATCCAATTTGCCAGTCTGTATCTTTTGATTGGTGCGATTAGTCCATTTACATTTAGGGTTAATATTGTTATGTGTGAATTTGATACTGCCATTTTGGTGCTAGCTGGCTGTTTTGCCCATTAGTTGATGCAGATTCTTCATTGTGTTTATTCTCTTTACTATTTGGATTGTTTTTGGAGTGGCTGGTACTGGTTGTTCCTATATGTGTGTAGAGCCTCTTTCAGGAACTCTTGTAAAGCTGGCCTGAGGGTGAAGAAATCTCTAAGCACTTGCATGTTCACAAAGGATTTTATTTTTCCTTCACTTATGAAGCATAGTTTGGCTGGATAGGAGATTCTGGGTTGAAATTTCTTTTCTTTAAGGATGTTATTGGCCCTCACTCTGTTCTGGCTTGTAGGGTTTCTGCTGAGAGATCTGCTGTGAGTCTGATGGGTTTCCCTTTGTGGGTAACCCGACCTTTCTCTCTGGCTGCCCTTAGTATTTTCTCCTTCATTTCAACCCTGGTGAATCTGATGATTATGTGACTTGGAGTTGCTCTTCTTGAGGAATATATTTGTGGTGCTCTCTGTATTTCCTGGACTTGAATATTTGCCTGCCTTGCTGGGTTGGGGAAGTTTTCCTGGATAATATCCTGAAGAGTATTTTCCAGCTTGGATTCATTCTCTTCGTTGCATTCAGGTACACCTATCAAACGTAGATTAGGTCTTTTCACATAGTCCCACATTTCTTGGAGACTTTGTTCATTCCTTTTTACCCTGTTTTCTCTATTCTTGCCTTCCCATTTTATTTCATTGAATTGATCTTCGACCTCCGATATCCTCTTTTTGCTTGGTCCATTCGGCTGTTGATACTTGTGCATGCTTCGCAAAGTTCTCGTATTGTGTTTTTCAGCTCCATCAATTCACTTATATTCCTTTCTATTTTGTCCGTTCTCGTTAGCATTTCATCAAATCTTTTTTCAAGGGTCTTAGTTTCTTTGCATTGTGTTAGAACATGTTCTTTTAGTTCACAGAAGTGTCTTACTACCCACCGTCTGAAGTCTGATTCTATCATTTCATCACAGTCGTTCTCCATCCAACCTTGTTCCGTTGCTGGTGAGGAGTTGTGGTCCCTTGTAGCAGGAGAGGTGTTCTGGTTTCAGGTGTTTTCATCCTTTTTGCACTGATTTCTTCCCATCTTTATTTATTTATCCACCTGTCATCTATGTAGTTGCTGGCTTTCAGATTGGGTCTCTGTGTGGACGTTCTGCTTGTTGATGATGAGGTTATCTCTGTTTCTTAGTTTTCCTTCTGATAGTCTGGACCCTCTGGTGTAGGTCTGCTGAGGTCCACTCCAGGCCCTGCTTGCCTGGGGATCACCTGCAGCAGCTGCTTAACAGTAAAGTTGTTACCAGTTTTCTTCTTCTGCTATCTTTGTCCCAGAAGGATACCCACCAAGTGTCAATCTGATCTCTCCTTTATGAGGTGGCTCTTTGGATATACAGGGGTCAGGGAGCTGCTTGAGGAGATGGTCTCTTCTTTATATCAGGCAAATGCTGAGCTGTGAGCTCCGTTGTTCATTCAGACCTACTGGGCAGGTACGTTTAGGTCTGCTGCAGCAGAACTCATAAACTGCTTTTTGTTCCCGGGTGCTCTGTCCCAGGGATTTAGGGCTTTATTTATGAGTTTCTGTTACACTGCTGCCTTCTTTTTTTTTTTCCTTCAGAGGTGCCCTGCCCAGCAAGGAGGCAGCCTAGTCACTGTCTGACTGTAGAGGCTTTGCTGAGCTGCTGTGGGCTGCACCCAGCTGCTGAGTGAAGTTCCCTGCAGTCCTGTTTATATGGGTGTAGTTAGAACTGCCTTGGCAAGGGTGGCCCACCTCTGTTAAGACAGAGTCTCTCTGTAGTGGCGAGTTGCCTTGGCAACGGCAGGCTGCCTCAGCAATGACGGGTTGCCTTGGCAGCAGCGGGCTGCCTCAGCATTGGCTGACTACCTCCGTAGTGGCGGGCTGCCTCGGTAATGGCAGATGCCCCTCCCCCACAGAGCTGGACCGTCCCAGGTTCAGCTGCACTTGCTGTGAAACTCTCAATCCAGAGAGTTTCTGATTGCTGTTCTTTTGTGGGGGTGGGACCAGCCGAGCCTGATCGCCTGGCTCCCTGCCTCAGAGCCTTTTTTTTTTTTTAAGTTGGTGTTCCAGTCGCCTGTTGAGGAGGCTCTGGGGTGTGTGTTTTTTCCCATGTGGCGACTCACTGCGCTGGCTTAAACAGTGCCACTGAGATTCGTGGTGCTTTTTTTGCCCTGAAATCTACTGTCCTGGCTCCCTGCTCAGTCTCCTTTTTAAACAGACAAATAGATGACTTCCCGTGGCTCCAATCGCCAGCCAAAAGGCAGCCGGACCCGTCTATTTTGTACGGAGAACCGCTGCTCCGGGGCACCAACAAAGCATTTGCATGGGGCAAAGCAGCGGCGCCAGCCGGCACAGCCGTGCTGGCTGAAACAGCCCCGTTGGTGACTGGTGGAGCTCCTCTGCCTGGGAATTTCCTAGTCTGTGGGCAATAAAAATGCGGTGTCTACTCACCCTCTGCACTTTCACTGGGAGCTGCAATCCTGAGCTGTTCCTAAACGGCCATCCTTTTCTCCAATTTTAAACTACCATCCTATATGGTGTAAATAAGCAATTTGAGATAGTACTATATTGTTTACACAAACATAAGAAAAGCATGTGAATTTTCTAACAGCATTTCACATTTCCATCTGACATTATAGTAGTACTTAAAAATGCCTCATAATTTTATTATTAGGTAAGCATTTCTCTTGTGCAATTAAAAGTTTCAAGGTTAAATTTTATTTATTTTTGTTTTTATTTTTAAATTATACTTTACATTCTGGGGTACATGGGCAGATCACACAGGATTGTTGCATTAGTACACACATGGCAATGTGGTTTGCTGCCTCCAACCCCCTGTCACCTACATCTGGCATTTCTCCCCATGTTAACTCTCCCCGACCTCTCCACCCACCTGCTGTCCCTGTCTCGGCAGCCCCCTACAGACTGCAGTGTGTGCTGCTCCCCTCCCTGTGTCCATGTGTTCTCATTGTTCAATACCTGCCTGAGTGAGAACATGCAGTGTTTGATTTTCTGTTCTTGTGTAAGTTTGCTGAGAATGATGGTTTCCAGATTCATCCATGTCCCTACAAAGGACAGAAAATCATCGTTTTTTATGGCTGCATAGTATTCCATGGTGTATACATGCCACATTTTCCTTGTTCAGTCTATCGTCGATGAGCATTTGGGTTGGTTCCAGCTCTTTGCTATTGTAAGCAGTGCCACTATGAACATACATGTGCATGTGTCCTTATAATAGAATGATTTATAATCATTTGGGTATATACCCAGTAATGGGATTGCTGGGCCAAGTAGAATTTCTATTTCTAGGTCCTTGGGGAAGCGCCACACTGTCTTCCACAATGGTTGAACCAGTTTACACTCCCACCAACAGTGTAAAAGTGTTCCTATTTCTCCACATCCTCTCCAGCATCTGTCGTCTCCAGGTTTTTTAATGATCACCGTTCTAACTGGCGTGAGGTGGTATCTCAATGTGGTTTTGATTTGCATTTCTCTAATAACCAGTGATGATGAGCATTTTTTCATATATTTGTTGGCCTCATTTATGACTTCTTTTGAAAAGTGTCTGTTCATATCCTTTGTCCACTTTTGGATGGGTTTGTTTGTTTTTTCTTGTACAACTGCTGTAGTTCTTTGTAGATTCTGGATAATAGGCCTTTGTCAGATGGGTGATTTGCAAAAATTTTTTCCCATTCTGTTGGTTGCCAGTTCACTCTAATGATTGTTTCTTTTGATGTACAGAAGCTCTGGAGTTTAATTAGGTCCCATTTGTCTATTTTGGCTTTTGTTGCCAATGCTTTTGATGTTTTAGTCATTAAGCCCTTGCCTATGCCTATGTCCTGAATGGTTTTGCCTAGGTTTTCTTCTAGGGTTTTTATGGTGTAAGGTCTTATGTTTAAGTCTTTAGTCCATCTGGAGTTAATTTTAGTGTAAGGTGTCAGGAAGGGGTCCAGCTTCTGCTTTCTGCACACTGCTAGCCAGTTTTCCCAACACCATTTATTAAACAGGAAATTCTTTCCCCATTGCTTGTTTTTGCCAGGTTTGACAAAGATCAGATGGTTGTGGATATGTGGCATTGCCCCCAAGGCCTCTATTCTTTCCATTGGTCTATATCCCTGTTTTGGTACCAGTACCATGCTGTTTTGATTACTGTAGCATTGTAGTATAGTTTGAAATCAGGTAGCGTGATGCCCCCAGCTTTGTTCTTTTTGCTTAGGATTGTCTTGGCTATGCAGGCCGTCTTTTGATTCCATATGAAGTTTAAGTTGTTTTTTTTCCTGTTCTGTAAAGAAAGTTATTTTTAGCTTGATGGGGATAGCATGGAATCTATCAATTACTTTGGGCAGTATGGCCATTTTTACAATGTTGATTCTTCCTAACCATGGGCATGGAATGTTTCTCCATCTGTTTGTGCCCTCTCTTATTTCCTTGAGCAGTGATTTGTAGTTTTTCTTGAAGAGGTCCTTTATATCCTCTGTTAGTTGTATTCCTAGGTATTTTATTCTCTTTGTAGCAATTGTGAATCGGAGTTTGCTTATGATTTGGCTCTCCGTTATTCTGTTATTAGTGTACAGAAATGCTTGTGATTTTAGCACATTGATTTTGTATCTTTATGATGGTGCTGAAGTTACTTATGTGTTTAAGGAGATTTGGGGCTGAGATGATAGGGTCTTCTACAGATACAGTCCTGTCCTCTGCAAATAGAGACAATTTGACTTCCTCTTTTCCTAATTGAATACTCCTTATTTTTTTATTCTTGCCTCATTGCTCTGGCTAGAACTTCCAATACTATATTGAATAGGAGTGGTGAGAGAGGGCATCCTTTTCTAGTGCCAGATTTCAAAGAGAATGCTTCCAGTTTTTGCCCATTCAGTATGATATTGGCTGTAGGTTTGTCATAAATAGCTTTTATTGTTTTGAGATATGTTCCTTCGATACCTAGTTTATTGGGAGCTTTTAGCATAAAGTGGTGTTGAATTTTATGGAAGGCCTTCTCTGCATCTATTGAGATAATCATGTGTTTTTTGTCTTTGGTTCTGTTAATGTGGTAGATTACCTTTATAGACTTGTATATGTTGAACCAGCCGTGCATCCCTGGAAAGAAGCCTACTTGATCGTGATGGATAAGCTTTTTGATGTGCTGTTGCAATCAGTTTGCCAGTATTTTATTGAAGATATTTGCATTTATGTTCTTCATGGATATTGGCCTGAAGTTTTCTTTTTTTGTTGAGTCTCTGCCAGATTTTGGTATCAGGATGATGTTGGTCTCATAAAATGATTTGGGAAGGATTCCCTCTTTTTGTATTGTTTGCAATAGTTTCAGAAGGAATGGTAACAGCTCCTCTTTGTATGTCTGGTGGAATTCAGCTGTGAACCAGTCCAGATGGGTTCAATGTTAAATTTTATAAAGGTCCTTTTCAGAATCTTCAATTGGTGTTTTGGAATTAAATGTTACATTCAATTCAACTATGCATATTGCAATAATGTTTCAGAAATATTTACCAGTATAAATACAGTTATATTCTCAAAACAAATTTGGACATATATAATGGAGAAACTTAATCACATGTTTTTCTCCTCCTTTGATTTCATTTTCAAAGCTTCCTCCTTCTGTATAGGTTTGTGTTATTTAATTCTTCCCATTTAACCTATCTTATAAGTATTTATCTTCTTCACACTATGCAATTTTCCTGATGTAGGTCATCAACTCATACTCCAAATGTATTTATTCAGACCTTTCTTCCAAGCCCCTTGGATGCCTCAAATTTTATGGGTCTCAAACGGAAAACATCATTTCTATTATTTTCCTGACTTTTTTCTGACTCTTTGTAATCTACCCTGTCATCTGGTTTCCCCATTGTGGGTGACGGGGAGCCCGCTGGGGAGTCTCGGCCAGCGAGAGGGTCCCAGCCTGGAAGAGGAGGTGCACAGAAATAAAGAGACAGAAAGATGGGGTCTGGAGGACTGAATAGGCAATGACTATGCAGCAAGTTTATTTGTGTCCAGGGTTCCAATATATACCTTTAGATTATAAGGATTGACGTCAGTGCACATTATGTAAGCTTTACAATAAGGAGAACAGAAAGTTGCAAAAAGCACAGAAAGTTGCAAAAAGCAAATGTCAGCAGAGCGGGTACATAATCACGGGTCATAAAAGGTAAGCAGGTGATGTACTTTATCATTGTTAACAGTACATGTGGTCACAAGGATAACAATCTGGAAATGTCACAGGCTAAGCCATTAATCTTTATCTGAGTATAGGAATGTCATCTGGTCCTCAAAAGGCTATACTTAACTTGGTAAACAGAGTCATAAAACCCACTCCTCAACAGGAACAGAAAGAGCACACACATCCATTACCCAGGGTCACTGTAGTCAGAAATAGAGGCTGACATTTTTCTTATTCTTTCCATTCCTACTTCCCCATAGCTCGACTGCCTCTAACAGGAAACTGTGTCCTGGATCAAGTTCACGCACAGTGAGGCCCAACTCTGGGGGGGCTTCACACGGGAACATTCCCCACACCCCATCCTAGAAAATGACATCTAGGAAGTAGCAGGGAAAGGCTCAAGCACTTCAACTTGCTGTTCAAGTCTCCCCCACATCCTACTCGTCAACCCTCCTCCACATCACCAATCCAGTCACACACCAAATTTTGTAGTTCCTACCTTCTTATATTTTTCCATCTTTTATTACCATAATTAACTCTCTACCTATAATTTTGAAGTACTCCTTTCTAGTTTTGCCCCATCTGCCCATGTTCATCTATCTTTACATTGCTGAAAGGGTCCCCCTACTAAAATATATTTGTAATGATGTAACTCATCTCTGCACATTGAGTGGATAACCACAACAGAAAGGGATAAGTTCACATTCTAGCATGACAAATATCTTACATGGTCTGGGCCCATTTTACCTCTTCATCTCATTTCCTCTGATTGTTTTCCAGTTTTACCACATCACTTTGGCACCATAATTTGCCATGTTATTTCATGCCTTATATGTTATTGTACCTAGAGTCCTAGAGTCTTTGTATCTTGACTCTGCATTTTGCCTGTCCTTCCAAATATGTCTAAATTATGGCAGCATCTTCTATGCTTTTCAGGTAAAACTGATTGTTTTCTCCTTTGTGCCCACATGTATTTTATTAACTAAAATTGTAGAACTGGTGACTTATACTTATTTGTTCTTATATGTTTTCATAAGTCTCTTAACATTTCTTAAATATAAGCTAGAATCTACCTTCTGTGTATATCTTCTGCTTCTCCCAAGATAATGCCTGTGATGACAGATACAATACACTTTTTTTGTCTTACTGACAAATAGAGTGAGTGAGTTAATAAATACAATTTTTTTCTAAAGTTGTTTATAATTTTGGTTGTTTTTTGTTTGTAATAGAGGGGAGCATTGAAGACAGTAATTGAACAACAAGAAGATGATATTTGCATTATTGAAGGAGCTCCTCATGATGAAACAAGTAATGAAACTTTTATTTTTAGACCAAAATAATGAAGCATTAAGTTAGTAAATACCTCTAAATATTTCTATACTTTAATGCTATTACTTAGAAAACAATTTTATAGACAGAACTATAATGTCTACTTAAAAAATACTTTTTGCTATCTGTCTTTATACTATCAATTATTTTTTCTGAACTTGCTTCAGTCCTGAAATTCTATTTCTGCTATTATGTTTATTTTATTGAAATATTCATAAATGGAAATAGATTTGTATATGTTTTCACAACTTACAGTAATAAATGTTCTCATATATTTGTCTGTGAACAACAATTTGTAGATAAAATGCCCACATCAGAATCAGGACTAAAAGAAGATAAGAAATCACCTTCAGATCCTGAGGTACTGTGTATTGGTGATGTTGTTGTTTTTGTTATTTTAAAATGTCAATATTGAGTAATGTTAGGATATAAAAAGATGGTTTTACATTATTCTCTTACGTCTCCATGTGTCCATAGGAATAATTTTCTGACATTTATCAGAACATACTTTACACTCATATGTGAAGTAGATAACTGCTATATAGCGCAACTCTGCTACTTTTCAGGATTAATACAAGAAGCCAATGTAGAATAATGCAAAAGAAAATATGGCTTAGATGTCACTAGGAACCTATTTGAGTTCTGAAGTTAAGTTGGTCTAAAATGTAAATAATTTATGTGTGTTCATCTATGGGCAAATAAATGATTCTGTGTATATCTGGATGTAAGAAAGCTCTAAATGGATTCAGAGAGAAATAGTTAAACTGTAGTCTTAGCCTTGTACAACTTGGAACTTGAAAAGATCATGCCTGGGGCTTGAATGTATTGGTATAGTTTCATTTTCTAGTGTAAGTTGGGTAAACATGAGAAATAGAGCGCCTGTAAAACTGTATACAACACCAATTTGGTTGAGTAGTATTTTAATAAGTAGACATTCTTTTCACAAATAGAACTCTTTGAGTTCCTCTGTGGCAGTCACGTCTGCAGCAACATATGTGTCAAATAATTCTGATGCATTCCAAGGTCACAACTGTGGAGGTGTAAGAGATAGGAAAGACCTCACCACTTAGATATAAGCATCAGCAGCATAGTGGTAACAGCAATGAGTGGCTGTAAAAAGATAAGCCTGTATTTTGGTTCTGTAACTTACTAGCTATGGGAACTGGGAAAAAATTATTTAACCTGATCAAATACCAGTAACCTTGTTTATAAAAATAGTGTTCATATCTACCTCTTCGTTATGTGCAATGGAATAATGTAGTAACAAATGTGAAAACATCTTGTAAACTGGAAAGTCTTTATACAAATATAAGACAAAATGATCAAAGTGGCATTTAAATGAAAGCAGTATTGTTAGGACAAGAATGTGGAATAAGAACAGGCATGTGGATTTCTAATTTGTGGTAAAGGGATGGTAACTTGCAGCAGACTATTACTGCAGATTTTCCAGAGAAATACAGCAGTTTCAAAAGTTAGACTTAACTGAGGTGATTTTGTTTTGGCCTGGAGTAATTTCTTTCTGAGTACCAGCTGTGTGCTAGGCAGTGTCTCTTTGAATATCCAAGATGAGGGATTATGCTATGGTAGCAGGAAGAGAATAACAAATACAAAACACTTGTATGTCACTATAACTTTTTCTTAAAATCAAGACAGAGAATGTTAGGATAGAGAAAATTGAAGAACTTTCTATTTAGCATGGATATGGGAGTGGCAGGGGAATTCTATGGTCAGAGCAGATCTTTCTGAGACTGCCATATAATCTCCCATCTCAAAGATGTGGAGTATGCTATATGAAAGCCTAGGAGAAAGACATTCTATATTTGTTCATTATTTTGTTCTTAACAACCTATAATGACTAGGAAGCAGCGAGTAGCGTAACCATCAATGCCATCATCATCCTCATTATTCTAAGGTGACGAAAAGTCTACAAATATGTGTCTGGAACATATTAGATGTTTCATGAATAATAGTGGTTTTTTTGTTTGTTTGTTTTTGAGATGGTGTCTCACTCTGTCACCAGCCTGGTGTGCAGTGGCACAATCTCCGCTCACCACAATCTCTGCTTCCTGGCTTCAAGCCGTTCTCCTGCCTCAGCCTCCCGAGTAGTTGGGACTACAGGCATGTGGCACCATGCCCAGCTAATTTTGTTTGTTTAGTGGAGACAGGGTTTCACCATGCTGGCCAGGATGGTGTTTGCCTCTTTACCTCGTGATCTGCCCACCTCTGCCTCCCAAAGTCCTGTGATTACAGGTGTGAGCCACTTCACCCAGCTGAATACAGGTTTTTATTTCTCTTTTTGTGAAGGCTTGCTCTACTTTTCTGAAGTTATGTCTTAAGAATTAATTGCATACTTTAATAATTGTTTGCCTTCATTTAAAAATAGCTTCTGTTTATTTCCTTTAAACAGCTTCTGCAGAGTTCTATTTTAACTCCACATGACATACTCTGAGAATTCTTCATGCCATGCATAGTTTTTAACAAAAATTCTGTAATTATGCATATATCAAATGTTTAATCATATTATATTTTGTTCGAAATGTCTCATTATATCTAGTGATAACAACAGAGTAAGGGAGATGCTTTGAAGTTAATTCCTTTTTGAAATATGCCCACAAGATAATTTTCTGTAAATATGATTTTTTTAATGCTCAGTAGCCTAGTCAATAGCCACACGAAGATAAAAGATGAGCATGATCTACAGAGCATATGTGAGGTTTTCTCTTGAAATATTTTGGTTTTCAATATGTGAACAGCCTTAAATCTAATTGCCTTTGAAGTAAAAAATAAAAGTAGTGTTTTTAAAAAGATTTTAAATTAAAAAAATTTATCGTTGTCATTATTTTTATTTTGAAATTGAAATTATTTATTGAGGCAGGACATAGTTGCTCATGCCTGTAATCCCAGTGCTTTGGGAGGCCAAGGCAGATGGATCACTTGAGATCAGGAGTTTGAGACCAGCCTGGCTTGTCTCTACACAAAATACAAAAGTTAGCCTGGCATGGTGGCTCTTACCTGTCATCCCAGCTACTCAGAAGGCTGAGGCAGGAGAATCTCTGGAACCTGGGGGAGGGAGGTTGCAGTAGGCCAAGATCATGCTACTGATTGACCTTGGGAAACTTTGTTATAGAAAAAAAAATTTTAAACAGACTATTATTGATATTGCGTTTAATAGGTTAACTCTGAGCATGCTTCACAGAATTATATGTGTTTACCTCAGACTACATATCAAAAAGAGATCAAGACAATAAATCGGAAAATAAAAGGTAAGAACGATTTTTTTTACTTATGCTTTAAATTCAGGGGTACATGTGCAGAACATACAGGGTTGTTACATACGTATACACATGCCATGGTGGCTGGCTGCATCCATTCCCTGTCATCTACATTAGGTATTTCTCCTAATGTTAGCCCTCCCCAATCCCCCTCCACTATCCCCCCTTAACCCCCCCCAACCCCAGAAAGGCCCCAGTGTGTGATGTTCCCCTCCCTGTGTCCATGTGTTCTCATTGTTCAGCACCCACTTATGAGTTAGAACATGTGGTGTTTGGTTTTCTCTTTTTTTTTTTAAATTTTATTGCATTTTATGTTTTGGGGTACATGTGAAGAACATGCAAGATTGTTGCATAGGCACACACATGGCAGTGTGATCTGCTGCCTTCCACCCCACCACCTACATCTAGCACTTCGCCCCATGTTATCTCTCCCCAACTCCCCTCCCCCTGCTGTCCCTCCCCTATTTGCCCCCAGCAGACCCCAGTGTGTGATGCTCCCCTCCCTGTGTTCATGTGTTCTCATTCTTCAACAACCGACTATGAGTGAGAGCATGCAGTGGTTGATTTTCTGCCCTTGTGTCAGTTTGCTGAGAATGATGGTTTCCAGGTTCATCCATGTCCCTACAAAGGACACAAACTCATCATTTTTGATGGCTGCATAATATTCCATGGTATATATGTGCCACATTTTCCCTGTCCAGTCTATCATCGATGGGCATTTGGGTTGGTTCCAGG